TGGTTGCTTACATTGAGTTACTACTTAACAATCTTTAAATGCCAAAGATAAACATTTGACTGAAGTTTCCCCATATAGTTTTCACTCATGGACAGTTTTATATGGCTTTATCAAGATGCACAACACACCATAGATTTAGAATTAAAGTTCAAAACACCACACATTAGGGTTGCCTCTTTTCTCTGTTTTTACAATCAACAGTCTATAAAGAGGTTTTATATAAAACTTCTTTCTAAACCACCCAGCATTTCTTGGGCAATATTTAATGCATATATGGTGCGCTAATGCATGCCAATGTGTAAGAAAAAAGTTCTGCTCAAAATATTATTTTATGAGTTAAACATGTATATTACAATAATTTAAGCATACATGTGTTTTTTTTTTCATATATTTTGCAGGTTTGCAAATTGTTTTGCCAAGCCACCCACCCTATATACACTACCTCCCCCCCCAAAGTGCAATCACAAATTGCTTGCTATACTATATCCAAAATTATAAGTAGAAAGAGGTAAAAGATTTGGCTCATTTTAAATAGATTGATTTTGTTAAAATCTTCAATTATTTTTTGATTTGTTATAATCTCTATAACTTTTATATTAGTAGAAATCTAACAAAGTGTATTTGAATCCCAAACTTTTCTTTTTACTGATTTAGTGCTAAATGTCCTTTGATATGAGAAATATAAAACTAAATTACAATTATTTTGTAATTCTAAGTGTGAATTTTCATAGCAATTATAATACTTACAATAAGTACCAGAAGCCCAAATACTTTTTTTATTAGAAGAATATAAAACTAAATTTCCATCTTCTTGTAATCTTAATACACAATTATTGCCTTTATTTGTTATTTTTGCAAACCATAAACTTATATTTTTAGTATATAATATTAGAGTACAATCACTACTTAAGTATAAATATGCTTTATGATTTAAAGAAACTAGGAAATATGCTGATAATAAATGCTGGTTTGGCATATTAGTATACCCACTTATTAACATATTTATTAAAATGTTACACCTAAAATTTCTCATTGCAAGTATTTGATGACTACGAGGTGTATAGTTTCTAATGTAATAAAATATAACAAAATGTTCAGTAGTTATAGTTATAGAAGAAGCAGCAAAATTTATGAAATCATTATAGGATTGTTCTAAAATATTTGTCAATGTGTTTCAAATGATAGAGCCTACATCTTCTCCACCACCTTCATTATTTGAACCACAAAGTTGTGCAACTGTTTCTAAAATAAAAACACCATATTCAATGTTTGTGTTAGTTAAATTTGGATTTGTAATAGCTAAAGATCCATATACCCATTGATCTCTTGGAAGTATACCATTTGGTATAGAATTAATTGCAGCACGAATAACTTGGAAAATAGTATTCAATACTTCTTCACTTAAAACATCAAGATCACCTGTTTCAAAATTAGTATCTTGAGAAACTCCTATTTTGAATAAAATGATTATAAATGAAATTGATATTAACCTACTCATTATTTCACCATCGAATATACATTTAAAAAAAATTCTTGAGTCTTATAAGTACTCAATTTTAAATGGCATTGGGCAAAAATATTTTGGCCAGAACTTTGAAGTTCGTTTTTATTTGACAATAAAGCAAAGGTATCTAATTCAAAAATATGTTGTTTATTAGTAAATTATTCTTAGTGTTTGGATTTTGTTTCAAGTTTATTATCTCCAAAATTTCTGGTGGTTCTAAAGAAACCTAGAATATATTTGTATATTCTAGAATCTAATTGTTGATTTATATTCTACTATAAACCATATATATATGTATGTATTTATATATGTGTAAAACCTTAAACCGATGTTTAACTTCTGACGTACCATGTTGGACGAGGAGAAACGTCACTAGTCTATGATATTGTGTCTTCCAAACAAAGACACAAAGACATGAACTGAAGTCACTCTTGAGATGGTGTTTTAGGGACTGTAATCAAGGTAATTATACTAATTAACTATTAATCAGTTAGATTGTGTAAAATTATTTTAAAACCAGAAACATTCTCAAAAGAAAATGAAACGAGAAAAAGATGGCGAAACCAAAAACCTCACTTACCAAGCTTACTTTCGTGTAGTATTGAAGTTTAGATCGACAGAGAGGATGAGAGCTCTTCTTTAAAACTTGAACGACCTCCGCATTTCAGTAGATCTCCTCACAGCGCCACCATCGCGACCATCACCAGCTTTTGCCTTGCCAATCGAAGCGCGCGGCTGTGGCGAGCGAACCATCTCTGGAAGCCGGCCATTGGAAAGAGAGTGCCTTCTCGGGCTAGTGTCGTTGCCATTGGGACCTCCTGGAAGTGAAAGCCTCCGTGGAGGAGCTTCGCCATAGCTCGCCTTGGTGCTATTCGGTCCAGGGATGGAGAACCTCCTCTTCCCCGTCTCCGTCGGTGACGCGCTCTTGGGACTCTGGCCGCGGACCTTGGCCTTGGCCGATTGCGTCGCTGCCATGTATGACGGAACGCGCGTTCGGTGAGGAGTAGTAGCGTTGTCTATGTTGTTCTCAACTTTCGTTGAAAAGTATCCCTGCTTGGTCGAATCCTCGGCCCGAGCAATGCGAGCTGTGCCTTCCTCTTCTTCTTCTTCCTCCTCTTCTTCTTCGTTGTCATCCTCGTCCTGATGGTGGTGGTGGCGGCCATTGTCCTGATCCAACGCTTCCTCTTCTTCTCCAAAAGCTTGGTCTTCGTCCGGGTACTCGTCATGTCCGTTACCGTGGTCGACCTCGTGGCCGTTGGTGTGGTCATTCTCAGCTGGCGGAGAGAGCGTCTCGGTGGCGTCGTAGAGCTCTGGTGAGTCTTCGTCGATATGAGGAGCGTCGGAGGTTCTTGGTTCGGTGTATTCCGCAGTGGGAACTTCTTTCGCTGGCTCGTCGTGTACCACCTCCTGGGCCGCCGGGTGTGGGTGTTGGTGTGAGTTTAGTTCTGGCGTTGGATACGTCTCGCTTTTCTCTGCGATCGTGTCAGGCGGATACGAAGGCGAAGATTTGACTTGCGTTGGAAGCTCCTGTTTGTGCTGTCTTGGGCTTTGTTCCGGGATGTCCACGCCGTCGGTCATTGCCCATGGCCGAGCGAGTGTCCAACGCTGCAGCCATCCCCATCCGGAGCCAGACTCCAGCGCCGAGTCGATGTACAATGGTTGCTTCCTCGACTTTTTCCATTCCCGCTGCATTCAAAACAATTAGCTTCCGGTATCTATAGGAAAACATGCTCACCTGTCGTTGCATTGCTTGATCTGCATTCTTTGTGTTGCTGCTGACGCGGTAAATCCCCTTGTATGGCTTGTGGTCCTGAAATGCTGGAAAATTCAGGAAAACCATTAACTGTGTAGGAATAACTCACCGCTAATTGCCAGGAGTCTTCTGTGAGCTGCCTGTAACGTTGGAGAAGATACTTGATTGCCTGGCCTTCCTCCGATAGTCGAACCTGCCGGCCTCGGAAAATGGCTTGGACGCGAACAATCGCTTGCACGCATTTTAAAGCTGCCGCAGCCTCTCTACGCACAGCATGACCGCGAGCCAAAGCCTGTAGCCTGATCAGACCTCTTAAAGCATGAAGTGCCCGCCGAGCCTACGAGAAACAAACGTTGAAACAAATAGGAACAAGAAAATGGACGTAACGTACCAGATAGCTTCGAAAAGCCTTTTGGACTTTCACAGCCGCGAGATCCTCCTTGCTGATAACTTTCTGGAAGATATCATCGTCCACGACATCGAGCTCCGGGTCCTCGCGAGATGCATGATTGAGTTCTTCGGCAGACTCCTCAACGGATTCATCCGTGCACTGTATCTGCCGATCCAGTTTCACTGGTGGGCATATGCATAGATCAGCACGGGGAGGAGGCGGATCTTCCTTCTTCGCATGAACGGGCTCAATTGGAGATGGTGGCTGCGCAGGAACCACTTGCGGAATTTCGTTAAAGATGGGCTTCGTTGGGACAACCTGGAAAACCAAAGAGAAAAACAAAGAGCATTAATCCAAGTGCTAGAACGATGATCGAAGAGAGAGACTAACGAGGACGTACAAACTCACTATCCGATGGCTTTGCCGGTGTTTTCTCTGACGACTTCGAGGGCGTCTTCTCCTTGGACGAGGATTTCTTCTTGAGGCCGAGAACTTTCTTGATCCATCTCGCGGACTTCCCCATCGCAAACCCGCACTGAAGAACACAGGAATTAGGTCTGTGCCGTGACAAAAACACGACAAAACAAGCGATGGTTGATCGATCCTGTCACTCCGGATGCATGAGAAGCGAAATGCGGGCAGATCTGCAAGTACCTGGCGCCTTGGATGCGATAATCCGCCTCCTCAAGCCCCGAGAACCTCCAATCCCTTCATCTGCGACACCAAAACCCTGTAGAGATTTTCGAGACGGCATGGATCCGAGAGCTGTGTACCTGGCGACGCCGAGAGAATGCCGATTCAAGCCCGCATTGACGCGATACCTGGAGATTACGCGAGAATGCCGGCGGCGGATGCTCCTGATCGGCGCCTAGAGCTCCAGCGGCAGCAGCGGCAGGAGATAGAACTGGAAGATCTCCGGTCGCATTCACGCCTCCTCGCAGGCGCCGCGACAGTGAGAGAAGACAAGAGCTATGGCGCTCCCCAAAAGGATTAGCGGCGAAGAACACACACTGCTAGGTAGCGAGAGAGAGAAAGAGAGAGAGCACAGCGCGGCCACTCTGTAAGCAAATAGCGACGGGCGCCCGTCAAAGTAGTAATATTTAATAGCCCCTTAAAAACTACTGGCCCCACTCTCTGTAAGCTCCGGTAAATATCCAGCCTATAATTGGTTAAAACAGGCGCCTGCTTATACCGCCGGTAAACTCTTCACGGATGGGCGCGTTCCGTACGCCGGGCCAAAAATCCCAAAAGCCTCGGAGGCGGAATCTCACCGTACGTCTGCCACGTGGCACCTGCGCCCGACACGTGGCGTTTATATTAAGCAAGCGACCAACGGCGGTGATTGCGTCATAGGATATGCGGATAATATATTTTCATGTGGTTTGCATGATTGGCATTCACATGGTTGGGCCTGGGTAAATGTCATGCAAGTTTTTCTACTTTTGTGTCTATATTTCTTTTGGTGGTCAGTTTTTTTCAAGAAGAGGGTGTGAAGTTGCTAGCTATTTTCTACGTCAATGTGTGGGTGGCACAAAAACAAGCCTACCATCACCATCATTTGGTGTTGTCCATTTATTTCTCTCATACTTTTTGGCTTTGCTTTTGCTTTGCTCGATCGCTCGCTCCATCGATCGATCGATCTAAACCTGTGACGTGATTGAGATTTACAACTCACTCACTCGCGAGCGAGCGAGCGAAGGGTCCGTTACCTGGAGCCTTCAAAGTCTATAAAGACTTTTTCTTGCTCGAGCCATCACAGGAGTCAGTCGTTGTCCATGCGATATAGATGATGCCGTTGAGCCCGTTTTTGTTCTTCAGTACTGGTACTTTCCATAGATCTGGAATGGCCAAGAGTTAGAACTATAGGCTCGTAGGTAGGCAGATACTCACAGTGGCATCGCATAACTTACATTCCCGCGAGACAATCTTGTTGACTTCTCTCTTGAAACGATCTCGAGTGAGTGATGTAACTCGCGACCATCGTAATCGTTGCGTAACTTTCTTGCTTGGAAGGATCATCCATCCACCTGATATGACGCTTAACTTCTTCCAATTCACCTATCCGAAAGTGATTAGTTTGGATGAGACGAAAAGGCTGCTTATAGCTTACGTCTTTCTGTAGTCGATGCGTTTCCTCTTCTTCTGTGCGCCTCTCTTCTGGCCCAGCTTGATCTTTTTCCTGGCGGTTTTCTCGGGGTCTACCAATGCCGCGATGGATTTTGCACGCTTGCGGTTATCCTTGCGTTGCATTACGTCAAGAGAGACTTGATTGTAGGCCGTCGCAAAACTCTCGGGTCCTACAAGCTCCCGAATCTCCTCCCGAACTCCCTCGGCGAATGCTCTCAGGTCCGCTGTAGCACAGAGCAGAATTTAGAAACCAAAGCTAGATCAAGTAACTAGATAACCTGGAGCAGTCGAACGTTCCACTTTCAGCAAGGGACTAAGTATATTTGGCAAATAAGCGGCTGACGCTTCTCTTCCAAGTCGACTCACTAAAGATGTGTACCACGTTAACACACACTTCGCCTGCATCAAACATCCAATAGTCAAGCAACAGCTCCTGGAGAGAAACAATAGCATACCTGTGAGCCCTCGAAAGAAACTCTCTCAAGCCTCCGAAGAAAGAGAGTAAGAGGATCGTTTTTGGTCAGTGTCTTACTGAGCTGGTCCATCGTTCCCGATTTCTGTCTTAACATTGTCAATGCCTTGGTCACTCTTTCGTCCTGCATGTCATCCAGCTTCAGGGAGGGGACGCTTAAGGACGCAGCCACTGTTGTCAAGTTCTTCACAACATGACCACCTAGCTCTTCGTCGAAGACATCCGACGCCATTTGCTCACAGCATATGGCCCCAAAAAGAAACAGCCATCTCAAATCGTTGAGCAAGGAGGCGTCATCGTTTTCGAAATAAGAACCAAATAATCGTGCGGACACGGTTCGCACTGAGACATGTCCGTGCAGTAAGAAATCTTGGATTGTTGTCCATGTTTCCTAAAAGAACTTGGTAAGCATAAAAACGATAGGGAACAAACCATCTACCTGTGATAAACGACTGGGAAATCGTTGGAATACTTTCTCAATCAATAGTAGTATGTGAAAGCTTTCTTTCCAATGAGCCTCCGCCGACTGCTCCAATATCGTTATAATCGCAGGCCAGAAATCGTTTAAGTGACGTTCAAAATTCTTGCCCATAACATCCACAAGTATCCCGGTGGCCTGAAAGAAACTGAAGGTTTAGACCACAAGCCCTTCACGATATGCTTTACCTGTGTAGCCGGCAACCAAAGGCCTTGTTTTTCACTTTTCATCCAAGACAGCAAGTATCCTTTCATTTGCTCGAGCATTTGCGCTCCTACGCGTTCCATGAGGATTCTTAAAACTGTCTGCAATAGAACCTGAACGTTGTCGTCTTTGTCATTGGCTAGCCTGGTGATCAGCGTCAGGAAAAAGCTTTCAGCTTGCTCCATCAAAACTGGGTCAGGAAACTTCACGATGATTGTATGTAGCATCTCGAGTGCTGCTTCCCTACCAGTGACATGTTCATACCTGATTTAAATACAGAAAAGAAAACATGAATCACCAACTTGAAACAAGGACAAAGCAAGTTTACCCGAGATTTCCCAGCAAAAAATCAATATGACGTTGTAAGCGCTTCGCAGCGAGTGGATAGTCGAGCAAGAACTGTAGGAGAATCTCACTGCACCGCTGTCGAGTGGACGGATACTGACTGGTAATCATCAGCTTCTGAACTCTTGTCATCAAGTCATAAATCTCGGGTACTACAAGCTTCCTTGCGACCACTGCCTTCAGTAACGATAAACACTGGGCACTCTGTTTCTCAATCTCCACGAAGATGTTCAAACGCAGAAGATCGTGTACTTGAGCCTTCGACAAGGTTACGCTCTTGCAGTGCCGTAAGATAACAGATAAAAGCTTCATGCAGGCTTGCATGAGCGGGTTGTCAGTAGTCGAGGAACTGCCAGCGAGTGAAAAAACTGAGCTTACGATCGCTCCTCCAGCCGAAGTGATAGTTGATAGCGGCAGCTTTAGCAGAATGCTCAAGCATCTCATAGACTCGGATATGACGCCGGTGTACTTCACGGATAGGCACTTCGCGAGTAGCGGAACAAAAGAATCGAGCGTAGACACTTCCTCTGGCGTTGGCTGGATGCGCCTTAACCGGTCGTGCAATAAGTTTAACGCGAACTCAGCGAGTATATGCAAAGAGTTGCCATCGTCACCGGTCGTAGTCACGTCAGGCTTCGGCCTAAACAACTCCTCTACAAGCTCGCGTACAAAGACTAAAATCTGTCGATCAGTAGCCGACGAGTTTTCCTGAATCCCTGCTGTGACATTCTTAAGAACCAACTGAACCTTCGCAAGAACCTTGAGAGAAGAGCTGGTTTTTTCTCTGATAGATTGTAGAAGCCGATGGATGTGAGCGTCGAATGTCATCACCTGAGCTATAAGCCGGAAGCTGTCATACGAGCGTGCCTGCTTCCTTTCCTTCATTTTTCTTGCTAGAGCTTCCACCTCCTTCTCTGCGGCCACCTCGCCAAAAACCTCTTCCTCCAGAATTTTCAGCATGTCTTCCAAGCAGTAATCGATGTCCCCCACCCGAAGCGTCGGAATAAGTCTGATCAGGATGGTGTTTAAGGTGTATCCCAGGACGTGCTTCTCATAGCCGCGTTTCAAAGAAGAGTGGAGCATTTTCACTGTAAATTGGAGGTACTTGGCTCCCAGTACTTCAACCATGCCGACAATAGAAGATCTGGCTGCGTCGCGAATTTCCTGACTCCTGCTCTTTAAAAAATTTGTTATAGTCTGGAAAAGCTGAGGAAGATGTTTTCTAATTGCTTGCTCGGGCAGCAGCTTGAGTACTTTGATGGCCACGACACTCACAGGAACGTTCACCGACTCGTTAGTAAGCATGAGCTTCGAGAGCTGGGGAAGGACTTTATCCTCCAAAAACTTGCTTTCTTCGTCCCCGATTTGAGAAAATTGTGTCCGCTCTAACAGCAAACATATCAGCCGCACCAAGACCTTTTGGTGCTCGTTTTTCGTCCTGAGAAGGCGAAAGGAGTCGGTCACAAGGTTGACAGCTTGAGACCATTGCAACTGTGTAGCAATACATCCCAAGGTCTCGAGAGTTGCAGCTACAAGGCCTTCATCCTTGCTTTCGAATAGGAAGTGCGAAAATAACGGCGCAAATATTTTACTTAACGACCGCTGTAGAATAGTTTGTCAAATTTCTGGTTTATGAAAAAGAAAGATACTCACTTGGGAAAACTGGGAATAAGTACAACCGGCTCTAAACTTTGCCATAGCCTTAATCCGTCTATGAAGCTGTAAGGCACAAAAGTTAGTAGAGAAAGTAGTGGGAAGCCACAGAATCAACCTGAATATGAATAATATTGCTGAAGAAGTCCCCTTCCACATCGGAACTACACAAGCACCGATACTCGGAAAACGTTGGAACTTCTGGGAGGATTACTAGCTCTCGAAATACAATCAGCCATTCCTGAGAGACAGAAGGAGTCGTCAGAAAAACATGTAACCAGTAACATTTCATATATTACCCGTCGTGTCGCCGCATTTTCCGACTTGATCGATTCTGTAATGCGGGAGAAAAGAAACTCGTGAACAACGTGACCGATGGTGTCTTTGAAGATTCCTTCCCCAGTAGCCTTCACAAACATAACCAGGCAGCTCGATGCGTTGTACCGCATATCTTCTGATTCCAAATCGAAAACAAGGTGGGACAGAAGTAGCAAGGCTTGGCGAGAATCGACTTGAGACAAAAATTCCCTGTTCAATTTCCCATAGCCCGCTTGTCTGCGTTCATAATCGCATTCATCAAGTCTGCTAGTTGACATAGAGTTCAGGTCCACCAATATTTCAGCCTACGCAGTGAACTATATCAATGATGGCCAAAAATTAGAACAAACGTACCATCAAAGCGAAAGAAGGCTCTCCTGCCGCAAGTTTCTCAAGGCATTCACATAAAATAATCCGGGACGTTTTACAGGCGACTGATGACAGTAAAGGTGTCAATGCCTCAACACATTTTGAGGCGCAAGAATGGTCGAAAAGATGCGCTAACTCTCTGACAATCTTCAGCACTTCAAGCCTTACTTCTGCAAAGGACATACTTGAATTAATATCGACAGCTTTATGAATTCCTTACCTGGATCAGGCTTCTTTGTTTTCAGAAATGGTAACAATGTATCCAGAAACTCGGAGGCCCGTAGAGGATCATTTATGTACGGGCTTACACTGAATATGATCTGCAGCTGCTCCTTCAAGTGTTTTGCTTTCCAATCCTTGCTGTAGCAAATATAAGTCGGAATCTATAAAGAGATTAAAAGAAACACTCACCTCGTAGATTGTTTGACTAGTTGCTGTGTAAGGCCTTGCAATAACACTGTCAGATGAGGTAAGACACTAAGTTCCACTGTTTTCCCTTTCCTCCCGAGTAAGTTTTGAATAAAGCTCAGAACAGCCATGTGTACTGGTGACGATAAGTTTTTCACGAGCAGAATGGAAAAGATATTAGGCACCACCAACTTGTTCGTCATCAAAAGAGAAGCGTAATCCTCATTCGTACTCATTGCTAAAAAGCACGATAATAATGCTGTTGGCTTATCTCCAGTATTTTCGTCCTTCAATAAAGCGATTGAGCGTTCAGTTGCTTGAAAGAACAGCTTCCAATACTTGGGCTCAAGGCTGACGTTGCTAAAGTTGTTGAGCAGCAGAGAAACGACCTTGAGACAAAGGGTTCTCAAATCTTTGCCCGAAGAGACCGGTTTCTCATCGGCAGAGATATCTTCCTCCGCCGTGCTGAGAGAGGCGGCTTCCAAAAGCCGAAAAACAATCCCCATCAGTGCAGGAAGATATGGTTCGATGCGTTCTCCGTCGAAAACTTGTAATATGTCTTTCACCAAATGCAGAAAGCCGACCTTTGTTTTGTGTGGCAACCCTGCAACCCCCTTCTTGTCCACCAAGTCAATCGGACTTTTGATTTCATTTTGGTCGACCGCCAACACGTTTGAAGAGGCCGCTTCTAGTGGACGAGTAATTAGCGAAAAGAAAGTCTCCAGCTCCTTAACTTCAAGGCAGGATAAGAAGGTGAGTATGCTAGAACGCATATGACTTGCTGACTGAATAAACAGTAAAGACAGTAGTCAGTAAGAACTTCAAGAGAAATTTTGCAACGGTTACCTTTCCCAGCTTAGCATTTCGTTTGGACAGCTTAGGATAGAGAATTCTAACCAGGACAGGCATCAATTCTGTTCTGTCCTCATTCGCCACCTGATGATCTTCTTTTGAAATGCTCCAAGATCCAAGTTCATCGCGTATGGTGTCCACAGACATAAGTTTATACAAATGGTCTTTATATGTAGTCAAGCACGAGCCCTTCCACTTCAATAAGCAGTCTAAAGTTTTCTTTTGAATATCAGCATCATTGAAAACCAGAAACCTGCCAATGGAAGCCGTTAGGCACTGAATTTCAACGTGTGAGGTGCTCACCTCTCCTCCAATATTTGCTTCAGAAGCACACCATTTGAAAGATCTGTGAAGTTCTTCAGTTGAACAAGAAGCTGCAGCCACTCTTTCAATATAGTCTTCCAGTCATTCTTGCTCAGAGAATGACTACGTGAAAATAGAAGTTTAGAAAAAATCAAGGAAAAAGAAAATTTCATACCTCTCCTCTCCATTCTTGTGATTTAAAAACACAAGAAAAAGAGAAATCATCTCGTTGGATACTGATACGAAATTTGACGACGTTCTTTGCGCAATCCGCAAAAGCAAACCCACCAAATTCGATGGCATCTGAGACTCCGGTACATTAGATGGTTCTGAAATGCAAGGTTTAGAAAACGGAAAACGACGTTGAACATGCAAACCGTTGGAGTCTTGCAAACACTGATTTTGTATCGCGGAAATGTACGACGTAAAATCACCCCGAACATTGTCACCCCTTGCCTCCATAATTTCAGCCACACAGCTAATGACAGGCTCCCACAATGGTGTAAACCGATTGTGCAATACTCCTATCACAGCATGAAAAGCCAAACGAACAAGTTCAACGGGCTTTCCAACCAAGCTCAATTTAACTTGCAAGATGAGGGAAGAAAGGCGACGAGAGTGCTCAATATCCAGTGGTGTGGCTTCTATTGCTAGCAAGTCGTCAAGGAGCTGTAAGGGAAAACATTGGTTTCGGGTGCAATAAAGAAAGAAAAGGAGGAAAACCTGAGCACTCTCACGTGACTGTTCGAACACGCTTAGAATCTCCAAGGTTGCCATCCTTATCCTCTTACTCGGGTTCCAAAGGTTTTTCTCCAATAATTTACAAGTTTTCAGAAAAGCCTGATGATTGAGTTCCACGGAGGCTTTGACTACGTCCGTCCCCAACCTGAAAAAAAAACAAGAAAAAGTCAAAAGACAAGAAAGACAATCCTTCAAAAGACAGACCTTCGAAGTCCTAACCCGCACTTGGATACAGCTTCCAGAACGTCAGGATATCCGAGGTATTTCAAACCGAAATTTAAGAAGGAAAGAAACACTTCTACAGTGAGTTTCTTCTGCGCTTCCAAAACTTTCAGATAAGATAATAAAGCGGCTCCTAGCAATTCCTTCCAGGTACCAGCGTCCGGCTTCTCATTTTCTTTTACAGCCTGATCAATAGCGGTTGCAAAATCCAGGCAAAAGGACTCCGGCTTACTACTGGTGGCCAAGTATGGGAAACACCGTAAAGCTGTCAAGACCAGAGCAGCCTCTTCTGACGTTTGATGATGACTCGTAAATTTCTCCAAAGAAGAGTCGACAAGGCCAGTGACAGCGGCGGAAAGTTTCTCGCTTTTGATGGATGGAAATTCCCAGTGTTGAATAAAACTTAACAGCAATGGCAAAACGCACGCTTGATGAGCCTCAACATGTTTTTCAAGCACTCTGGCACAAGGAACAAGCGTTAGCATAGCTTGAAAACAACCAGAGCTACCTTAAAATTAAGTGCTCAAAATATTTTACGGTCCCAACATCTTGCTCAAGCAGTCCTTTAATGAAAGGCAATAGGCTGTAAGAAAGAAAAAATAAAATTATGAAACGAAAATGAGGGGTTAGAAAACCTCTTAGCTGATGCGCTTTCAAATGCTGAGGTCCATGCAACAGCAGCTACATCTGGCTTTATGTTTTCATCTGCCTTCTTCACGATTGCATTAAGAAGAACTGCAAGGGCTTGAGATAGCAAGCCCTCGTGTGCCTCTCCTGTCAACTTTGGAACAAGGTCTAGCAGCCTTGGACCAACAGAGTTAAACAGCCACTGACCTGCAGGTACAAAATTGCTAAAAAGATTTTTCGAATATATTATAGCGCACTCACCATTCATATACCTTCCCTTTTTATACTCAGAGACGTGGTTAAGAACCAAGAAAAGTTGTTCCATTCTAGCGTCTGACCTGTCTGGCCAGTTAGATTCCTTCTCAAGTAAAAGGAGAAGCGAAAGTATTTCATCTAGTAAGCAGGACCATAGCAGCTCCAGCTTATTGGGATCAATTTCTTCGCAAAGGTCAGTCAAAGTTTTCTTCAATATTTCTAGAACGATGTCACCTACAGCAGAACCAAATGTAAGGTAATCACACAAAGAAAAAGAAAATTAACGACCTTTCGACCCTTCGCGAACTCCACATATTACTGCTGGACTGAAAAGGAGCTTTAACAGCTCTTCAGCGCGAGAATGGAAGCCAGAAGACGGCCCCTTTAGCGTGCAAGTTAGCAACGCACTGCAGCCAAAAGTCTTTTCGTCGGTAGGATCTTTCTCCGTTTCCGAGATAAGCCGTCGAACACCTGAATAAGAGCACAACAGTCAGATATTTGAGAGCAAAGAATCAAGTGTACCTTTTATAACTTGGGTTAGAGGAGCAACCCTGAAAACGAACGAGACAGCCTCTGCCGCAAAAACGCGAACATAATTTTGGTGATAAAGACGAAAACACCTCGTTACTCTAAATCAAACGGGAATTATATCAATCATAACCTTGAAAACATTAACACTTACTTTAGAACAAAAGCCAAATCCTTCGATAAGTACTTGGACATGTACTTAAAAATATATGCCACTAAAGTAAAACCCTGGAGAATGAAAATGTAAGTTCTGGACCAGCAACACAGATGAAGCTCACCTGCAACGTGACAGGATCCCTATCCCCACCCGATTGAAGAAGCTTATAATATCCATCAAAGATTTCTGGAATGTATCTGGAAGAAGAAAATAAAACCGGAACGACGAAGGCTTGAAGAAGACTTACTGCAAAAAATCTTCAGACAAATCTCTCGAGAGAACTGCTAAGAGGCTGTCAAGAAAAAGATATTAGAAGGAACATCGTCGCAAGTTTCACAAACCTGAAAACTGGCTCCAATGAAAGCGATGACGCTTTCAAGGACGAGACAAGACGATTGATCACGGTGGCCTTGTGAAGGAGTAGCTGCGGTAAAGTTTGCACCAAAGGCAGCAACTCCCCATAGAGCTCAATAAAATCGGCAGCAGCATTCAATTCCTACAACAAAGTTTTTTAACAAATGGACGCAAGATAGAGCACGAAAAACTCACCCGCCACTGGATCAAGCTCTCGTAGAAAAAAGACGCTCCTTCCGCTGTAGGCTGGGCCTTCACAGCGTCTAGACAGTGGAAAACATCGATATCAATGTCCTCGATGCGCTCGGCGAAGGATTTAAACTGCGAGAATTCTCACAAATTTGAGAAGAATGCGAGAGGCAAAAGAGATCTCCCCTACCTTGAATCGCTTCCTCCTCTTCTCCGGCGACTTACTGCGCTTCCGGCGCCCCGCCATAGTTTCCCCCAAATTCCTAAAACCCTAAAATCCCCCTGGCATATTCTCCAAATAGGCGTGCATTAGGGTTCTTGGGTGTGGCATTCTAAAAGAAGGGTTTTTCGCTCGCTATGGCTGCCCAGGAGGGGGGAGAAGAAGCACCGCCCATGGCGCCGGACGCTCCCGAGCAGCAGGACGAGCAAGAGGATCGCGGAGGTGAGCTTCTTTACTGTGGCACTACATCCTGGGACACTGTGGGCCGCAAGCAAGCCGATTCTGGGAGCTTGCCCGCGCCGACGCGCCTCAGCCCTCTCAAGGGCGTCCAGATTGCTTTCGTCGCCTCCGGCTCAGGTGCGTCGAAAATCTTGTGCGCGATTGTTCTATCTTGAAAATTTCGAATTGGATTGTTCCAGCTTCCACTCACTGTATTGCGATCGGTGCTGATGGGCGGTGCTTTACCTGGGGCCGAAACGAGGTAAGAGCTTCTCCTGGGTTTCTTTCTTCTTTTCTTTCCTTCCTTTGGACGTTTTTATGCTACATTGTTTTTCCATAGAAAGGTCAGCTGGGTCACGGAGACACATCAAATAGAGACGCCCCCACGCCGGTGCTAGCTTTGTCACAGTACGTATAGATTCGCTAGTCCGAGAAGAAAAACTTGAAATCTATGTCTTGTTTTATAGATACAAGGTCGTTAAAGCTGGATCAGGGAGACAGCACACAGTTGTGATCACGGATGACGGGAACTCTTTTGCTTTTGGATTCAACAAACATGGCCAGCTGGGTAGCGGTCATGTCAAAGATGGTGAGACTGCATCTTCTTAAAGGAAAAAGATTCGGTTCTCGATCATGGAGATTATTGGCAGAGGTGGAGAAGCTCCCACTGAAGTGTCTGGTATCGGAAGCAACTCATGTATCTTGCGGAGCAGATTTTACTGTGTGGTTGTCTTCTGTTGAAGGGGCGTCAATCTTGTAAGTCTCTTTCGTCCCGTACAGTCGCGGTTTGACAATATCATCTTTTCAGAACCGCAGGATTGCCTCAGTATGGTCAGCTTGGCCATGGAACAGACAACGAGGTAAGATTTGTTATCCGTTGTTTTTTCTTTTCCGGTTTCTTGAGTAGTATTGCTGTTTTTCCAGTATAATATGAAGGAAGGATCTGTAAAACTCGCATATGAAGCACAATCGAGACCAAGGCCAGTTGCAGCATTCTCGGAAAAAATGGTCACAAAAGTTGCTTGTGGACACAATCATACAGGTGAGGCCATTTCATTTTCCTCGTGGTCTTTGCTTTCGGTCCTGACTGACATAATATTCATTTCAGTGGCTTCGGATTCCAATGGATTTGTCTACACGTACAGTAGTCTTTAATTCTAGAATTTTCTACTTCTGCGAGTAACTGACTATTTTCTCTGCAGATGGGGCTATGGGGGCTATGGAAGGTAAAGGTTAATGGTTTTTGCGTCGGATGTTTACCTTGTGACTTTCAGGCTCGGTCACAAGGAACAGAAGGATGAGTGGACTCCGAGATTAGTAGAAGTCTTCCAGCGTCAGAATGTGCTTCCCCCAACCGCTGTTGTTGCCGCAGGTGCTGCATTTTCAGCCTGTACTGCAGGTAATACTCGATCAAAGTTTATTTTTCCGACGACACTCAGTGGTATTGTTGATCAATCTAGGTGGTGGCCAGCTGTATATGTGGGGTCGTGTAAAAGCTACCGGTGACAATTGGATGTACCCAAAGCCTCTTACGGATCTCAAGTACCAAGCAACTTTGGCTCCTTTAAAATCGTGTTCTGACCAAACTTCTTTTGTGTCTGCTCAGTGGCTGGACCATCCGTAGCATGGATTCCGGCAATACAATAAGCATGGTGGCCGCGGAGACGTCGTGCATAAGCTGGGGGACAGCATTTTCTGGCGAACTTGGATATGGTCCATCTGGCCCAAAGTAAGTTTTCCAACTTCGCCGTTAAGTCATCGTGCAAGACTGTTGGTTCCAGATCGTCTGCCAACCCGAAAAAAATCGACTCTCTCGAAGGCATGCACGTGATAAGGTAGCTGCTTCGCCCGCCGTAATGCTGTTTTATTGTTCCAGTGCTTACGGTTTTTTCTTTGTCCTGCGTTTCCAGTGTTGCGTGTGGCCTTGCACATTCGATGATGATAGTTTCCAGGTCCAAGGATGGCGCCGAGCGACTGGAAGAGGTAAGCTTTTTGGATTGCTGGGAGCACCGTTTCTAACACCTTCTGGCGTGCAGTTCGACGTTTATGAAGCCAGCAGCGCTGAAAACGGTATGTTATAAACCTTGGCTTAATCCACTGTCGGTGACCTGCCGAGATCGCAGACAATGACAACGAAGAAGCCGAGGCCGAGGAAGCAGAGCCAGAGCCCAGAGGAGGAGGAGGAGGAGGAGGACGGAAGCGAAATCCTCCTCCGAGCAGGAAGGAAACGCCGGCAAAGAGACCTCAGAGGAAAGCCAAGAAGAAATACTCGTCGGACGAGGATGACGACGACGAGGACGTGGAGGAGGAGACCGAGGACGACGAGGAGTTCGACTCGGAGACGGAAGAGTCCGAGGAGGACTATGTCTCGGACGAGAGCGACTCTCCTCGAGCAGCCAAGGGTGGAGGGCGAGGTGGAAGAGGTCGGGGGCGGGGCCGAGGCCGTGGTAGAGCTCGTTGATGAATATATACTACGCAAAGATTCGACACCAAAGCAGAAGCAGCACCAGCAGCAATTTTAGCAATGACTGTGTGTACTATAGAAGCTGACAGAAGATGGAAGTCACATAGGCTAGCTTAGCTTGCCTTCATTGATGTGTAATGCTTTGTTAATTTTATTAGCTAAAAGTTATGACCAAAAGAGCAATAGTAACCAAGCATTTGGTTTGTTGTGTATGATCGCTCAATTGAAACCCATCAAGAAATAGTTTAGTAAGTAAAATATTTCCCACTACAACCTTCTTGGAAACACAAAAATATAATTTTTTTCACATTGAACGAAATCGATCTGGAGAATCTGGATGGAGCCAAAAATCATGAAAATTCAAGATTCCAGTGAAAATTCAATAGTAGGTATTGGCATACCATAATCCTTCAGCCAATAACATAAAAATGATCTAGATTTATATATATATATATATATATATATAGAGTTGTGTGTTCTTTGGCACACAGTGAAAGAAAGAGAACGAATATTATTATTCGTGTGGCATCATTCCAAGGATATTCGCGTCGGATTTAAATCTAGTGGTCGCTGATTGAGTGAACCATGGACACACAAATGCAGGGGACTCACCAGAGGGAAACAAGGCGCCAGCGCGCTACCAAAATGTACTAGGGTTTTGCCGATCGACTCGCAGGGCGAGGATCGATCTATGGCGCCCGAGGGATCGGCTCTAGTCGCAATGTCGGCCGCGATGTCGTGCGGCCAGCTCCATCGCCTCAAAGGTACGTCACGAATCTCGTTGAGTCGGTCTAGGACGAGAGTAGGCGCGAGCGAAGACTTTCATTTCCTTTTTCCGACACCTACATTCGTTTCCATCCGGCTTATGGGAGAGAATTTCGATTCCAGGGATGCAACAAAGGAGGAAACCAGCTGGGAAACAAATTCCATTCTTCCATGGCAATGTTTGCTCCAAGAGTTTTCTTCTAGGCAGCAGAGGTCTAGAAGGAAAACTCGTTCTTTGGACGAATCCAAGGCTAAGGCCGAGCAGGAGAAAAATGGTGACATACTGCTGGGGGACTTCTTCGCCTGGTTCCGAGAGTATAGATCAGTTGGAGAGCGAGAAAAAATCCAACGAGGAGCCTGCCGTGGAAATCAATTCCAGTAAAGGAACTTCCAGCGATGAAAGCCACTCGTTCACCACTACTGCTAGCGTGGAGGACGACAAACCAAAGTCCTGGTTCGACAGGATACCAAAGCGATGGCAGATTGTAGCCTTGTGCTTCTTTGCATTCCTCCTGTGCAACATGGATCGGGTATGGCTTTTGCACTTCCGTTTCTCTTTCTGGATGGAAACTTAACTGGCTCGCTTGACTAGAAAATCTTTGTGGTGTTATAGGTGAATATGAGCATTGCTATTCTCCCAATGGCTTCCGAGTTCCATTGGAACTCCACCACAGTCGGTTTAGTGCAATCGTCATTCTTTTGGGGATATCTTCTCACACAGGTACTGTTCTCGAGCGGAGAATAAGTTTTAGAAGTTTGACGCTTCTTTCTTGCAGATTGCTGGAGGTGTGTGGGCAGACAGCATTGGAGGGAAGAAAGTTTTAGGATTCGGAGTGATATGGTGGTCAGTAGCAACAGTTTTGACTCCTCTAGCAGCAAAACTTGGCCTGCCAGTGCTATTCGCGGTCCGAGCTTGCATGGGAATTGGCGAGGTATAATTGGTGAATTTACTTTCTATGCACTCTTACGATCCTTCATTTCTATCACAGGGCGTTGCAATGCCTGCAATGAATAATCTTCTCTCTCGTTGGATTCCGGTGACCGAACGCAGTAGATCGCTTGCCTTGGTGTACAGTGGAATGTATCTTGGATCGGTGACAGGACTTGCGTTTTCTCCCGCCTTGATTCACAAGTATAACTGGCCCTCAGTTTTCTTCACGTTTGGTTCGTTGGGAGCGGTCTGGTTTACATTCTGGCAGAAAAACGTAAATTTGCTCATGCTTTGCATTACTTCTCATTGTCAGTTTTGTTTTTCAGGCATATAGCTCGCCTGCGGAAGATATCACGCTTTCGGAGGAAGAGAAGAATTACATACTCGGAGATAGCGCCCAAGAGAAAGTAGCTATAGGCGAGATACCCTGGGGTCAGCTTCTATCTGAACCATCTGTGTGGGCGCTAATAGTTTGTCACTTTTGCCACAACTGGGGGACTTTCATTCTCTTGACATGGATGCCGACGTACTACAACCAGGTTGACACTTCTCTTGATTTCTAAGTTCATTATGAAAGTATTTGTATGCAGGTTTTGGGATTCAATCTGATGGAATCCGGAATGTTTTCAGTCCTTCCTTGGTTGACAATGGCGTTGTCCTCTAATCTTGGGGGATGGATAGCTGACAATCTTGTAAAGAGGGGAGTTTCGGTCACACTTGTTCGGAAGGTATGTTTTAGCTCTTCGTTGTTGGTTAAGCTTGCAGCATTGTTTTACTATGTACAGGTGATGCAATCCATTGGTTTTCTTGGCCCGGCTTTTTTCCTTACGCAGCTTAGCCATATCCGTTCGCCTTCTGGTGCTGTTCTGTGTATGATGGCTTCCCAGGTAAAATCCTCTCTATATCTCGCTTTAAGTGGAATTTTGGTTTGATATCTGGTCTCTTGCAGGGTTTGGATGCTTTCTCGCAGTCGGGATTGTATTCCAACCATCAAGATATTGGCCCTCGCTATGCGGTAATAAACTAGTCTGGCATATCCTACTTCTGGCCAGAACTGATACTGAGCTTGTAACAGGGAGTATTGCTCGGACTCTCCAATACTGCGGGAGTTCTTGCTGGTGTCATAGGAACTGCTGCAACAGGATACATCTTGCAGCATGGTTTACCTCTAGTCTTTGTGCTCTTCCTCGTTTAACTAACTCGTGGTTTTTGTTGTGGGCACAGGGACATGGGATGACGTCTTCAAAGTAGCAGTCGCATTGTATTTAGTGGGAACAGTTGTTTGGAACCTTTTCTCAACAGGAGAGCGAGTTATCGACTGACAAAAAATGTTTTTCCCGATTAGTAAATCAATAACGTAAATTGCGGGGAGTTTTAATGCGAGTTCTGTCTTATAGAATGCTGGACCGGGCCTGCTGTAAGAAATCCAGGTACAGAGGTTCTTACTTGATCAGCGATAGCTCTCTCACTCTCGTTTGATCTCGCAGTTTGATCAGATGCTTTCTCCACGATCCAACACGAGCTGCTGAATTAAGATCGGCATCATCAGTCGAACACATGTTCGCAAGCACAACGTAGAGCGATGGATCGCCAGGATGCAACTCAAGGACACACTGTGCGAGCCGAGCTCCCCTCTCGACGTCCTTGTGACTCTTGCACGACCCGAGCAAGCACGTCCAGTCCAAGATATTCGGAACAAACGGCATCGTAAAGACGAGCTCCTCCGCCTCGTGCAGGTACCCGGACCGTCCCAGAAGATCCAGAACGCAGAAGAAATGCTGCTTGGTGGTCTCGAGACCAAAGTCGAGCTTCATCGAAACAAAGCAGCACCTTCCATCGTAAACTTTGCCGGCATGGCTGCAAGCGATGATGATCGACACGAAAGAAGATTCATCCGGCTGGTGGAGGGACTTTAAGCTGTCAAACACTTCTTTAGCGTCGTGGTAATCTCCCCTATGAGCATACGCATGAAGAAGAGTGCTCCACGAAACGATGTCAAGCTCAGGCATGATATTGAGAAGATTCCTAGCCATTTGGATATGCCCGTTCCTGGTATATGCTGCTAGCATGGCATTGCCGGACACCAAGTTTTGTTCCGGCAAGCTATCAAAAACTGACTTTGCTTCGTTGAGATGCCCGTCTTGGGCATATGCGAAAAGCATTATCGTTAACGCAACCATGTTTTGCTGCGGCATAGAGTTGAGTATAGTTTTTGTTTCTTCGAGGTGGCCGCATTGGGCATACGCTGCTAGCATGGAAGTCCACGAGAACAAATCCTTCTGTGGCATCTCCTCAAAGAGGCATTTAGCCGACTCGAGCTGGCCGGTTTGGCTCAACCCCGCGAGGACTGTGTTGAAAGAGGCTAAGTCCCTGTGAGGCATCGAGAGAAACATCTTCTTGGCGTTGATGGTGAGACCATTCAACACGTAGCACGACATCATCGCGTTCCAGACCTCGAGATTCTGCTGCGGCACTTGGTGAAACAGGATCTTGGCTGCGTCAACCCGGCCGTGTTGAGCAAAGCCAGTGAGCAGCGCCGTCCAGGAGAGAAGATTTCTCCGTGGCATTCCGTCGAACATCCGCTTTGCCTCGTCAAGATGCCCGTTTTGGGAATATGCGCTGAGCATCGCCGTCCACGAGACGAGATCCTGCTGTGGGATGCGACTGAACATCGCTTTTGCTTCATCAAGGCGACCATTCTGTCCGTACGCGGACAGCATCGCCGTCCATGACAAAAGATCCTGGTACGGCATCTCTGTAAACATTCGTCTTGATTCCTCCAAATGCCCGTTCTGGGCATATGCTCCAAGCATCGCGGTCCACGACAAAAGATTCCTCTCAGGCATTTGATCAAAGTAGTACTTGGCTTTCTCAAGATCCCCCTTTTGAGCATATGCCGTTACTAAAGCCGTCCATGTGACAAGATTCCTCTGTGGCATTTGCTCAAAGACTTGCCTAACCTCGTTAAGATGCCCGCATTGAGCATATGCCGTGAGCATCGCGGACCAGGAGAGCATATTCACCTCTGGCATTGCGTTAAAGATTCCTCGCGCACCCTCGAGATGCCCGACCTGGGCATATGCCGTTAGCATCGCGTTCCAGGAGACTAGCTCCAAGAGTGGCATTCGATCGAATAGCTCCCGCGCCTCATCGAGATGCCCGTTCTGGGCATAGGCGGACACCATCGCATTCCACGCCACCAGCGTTTGATCCGCCATTGCGTCAAAGAGCCGCTTGGCGTCGTCCAGGAGCCCATTCCTGGAGCACGCCAAGATCATCGCAATCCAGGAAAAGGAGTTCCTTCCGCCAGCGCCAAGCTCCTGAAAGATCTGCCGGGCCTCCCTCACACCACCACATTTGCCATACATTTCGATGAGTTTATTATGGAGGAAGGGATCGGAGGAGGATGAGAAGAGTGGGCGCGTGCGGTCGTGAATCTCTCGTGCCCTAGATAGTGTTCTACATGAATCGATGAGCCTGAGGCATTCGTATCTATCCATCAAACCATGTTTACTTCGCGCCAAACGTTCCAGACCGTTATATGATGATATGTGATTTTCTTCAAACTTATAGTAAGGAATTTGCAGCCAATTCCTAATAAAATTGATTGCTAAATTCGTTTAGACGCTAACGAAGAAGAGCTAATGTTATGGGGAAATGTGAGGCTGTTTGATTTGTTTTTTGTTTTGATTTTAGAGATTTTTATAAACAGAGATTAAAATTGTCTTACTGAGGAATTGCCTTCTTGGAATACAAGGACCCTACCAAAGGATTAGTCTTGGTAGTGCCCCAACTTATTGAATTGGCTGCTTGTTATTTGGTGCTCCCTTTAATTGGTAAAAGTATGGGATTGAGCTATTTATGTTCAACATTGATCATCAAAGGAGATTAATTTTATAGGTCAATTTCAAGAAGATGTTAGAAATGGGTGTTCATAAAAAATCCCAATGTCCCTAAGCATATAATCTTATATATCATGTGTGTGGATGCTTTCAGAGGTGTGTCAATGCAAGAGAGTACATCATGAGTTATATATACAAGTGAAGAAAAAAATAAAGAAATTTAGCAAATTCAGTATGACTTCAATATTGGATTCAATAGTGTACTAAAGTTTATATAAAATATGGGAGATTAGGTCAATAAAAAGAAATTTATCATCTTCAAAAAAGTGTGAGACAATATTTTTTAAACCTCAACTTTTTATGTTTTTGAAATAACGAACTAAGCAACAAAGTTAACAAACGTAAGCAAAATTTATTAGTTGAGAACCAAAGAATAACAATCAATATCATTTTCTAAATTTCCAAAAAATCTGCCATACAAGATTTATTCTTACTCTATTTAAGAGAACGTAGCCTTGAGCTGCCGAACCGCGTTCTCATCAATAAAGAAGGTCTTGACGAGCACCTCGTCCAGGATGTCCGATCCAAACATGGAGCTTGCGATAAGCTGGAAGCCCGGTGACTGCGAATCCAGTGTCACGATGGCCATGGCGGTGGTGTTACCGACGTTGAGCTGCCAGTGGATCAAACCCCGCGGGAAGATCATCACATCGCCTTTGGAGATGACCCGAGCAAAGAGCTGGTTCTGGGTGGTGACGAATCCGGCGTACAAGCTCCCTTCCACGACGTAGATGATCTCCGAGCCTCGCGGATGCGTGTGTGGAGGGATGAGACCGCCGGGAGCAAAGTCGAGCCTGGCAATGGCGAGGCCGAGAGAGTTGAGCCCAGGAAAATCGTGGACGAAGCCAAACACCGCGTCGGCTCTCGATGGGCCGCTGGTGTTTGCAGAGTTTCGAAGGCCTGAGAAGATGAAATCCTCGGTGGTGGTGTTGGCTGCTCGCTTGCAAGGGTAGCCATTGAGAGTGAGGTCCTTTGCGAGGTCGGCCACGCAAAAGTCCTGGAGGGGATCGGCGTCGGAGGCTGTGATCACCTGGAAGATTGGTGCCGCAATGACGAGAAGTTGGAGGAGTGTGATCATCATCGTGTTCTTGAGTGATCCCTGGAACTTGAGAAAACAAACGAGAAAGCGATGGCTAGGAATTAGAAGAGTGACCTCTTTCTTTCCTTGATTTGTGAGATGGTTGTGAAGGTATTTAAAGGATGAAAAGGCTTGGAGAAGGTTCCATGAAACACAGCAGTTGCGATGTGACCCGTCACTTTGTGTTGACAATGTGGGAGTTCTTGCTTCGCCCACGTTTTAAATATTTCTCCATTGAAGGTTTCTTGTACGCGTCAGTTGACAAAATCTTACTAGAATAACCCACAAGAAATCTAATATCAATAAAAAAAATTAAAATCCTCAAATATGTAATGTAATATTTTTTTTTAATAATACAATTCTAATTAATTTATGATCATAAGTATACATATAAACCAACTCATGTTACAAATTGCAAAGCCTTAAACAAACTGTAAGATCCTTGTAGCTTATCAAACTTTGCCTTTTATCCTTTTTACATAAGCTAGAGAAAAATTGTCTGGTGTCCTTTGGTCATGTTTTTGTACACAAAATTCAGTCAGGTTGATCCGCTAGAACTTTTCCTTGTGGAAAATGAACTTGGTATTCGATTTCTCCGAGTAAGACCGCGAGAGAAGGTCGAGCTCCTTTCCTGCTGCCGAGTTTCCGCAGTAAAACACACCTATTCTGGCACCTGGATGAATCGATGCAAGCCTCGCAAACACTTTCCTCCAGTTTGGACGAGCAAAATGCGTTCGAACCTGGGGAAGAAATCGAAAGAACAAATAAGAAGAAAGAACATTAACTAGAAAGGAACTTACCCGAGTGCCAGAGACAATATCAACACCGCTTCGTGCGTGATGCAACGCTTGGACCAAACCGATAAGCGTGGAGCGAGCGTCTCCTTCTTCGTAAACACTCGTTAGATAGTTATGCATCTCGATCACGGCCTGCAAAGAAGCACCAAAACGATTTGTAAAAGGAGGAGATAGAAATCACAAACGTTTTCCTGACCTTGTGATCAAGCTGAGAGACTTCGTTCATGACTCCCTTGAACCATTCAAAGGAGCTTTGCTCTCTGGTGACCCAGTAGAAGTAAGCGTTCGTGGGGCCTCTATTTTTCTTGGCTTTTTTTCTGGCAGCATCGAACATCTTGCTGAATGGACTTTGAGATCCCTGGAAGATAATGTGTGTAAGTTCATTGCTTCTGGAGGAAAAAAGAAAAGAAGATAAAATACTTACAGGAAGCTGCTCGGCTGACTTTAAATGATTCAACATGTCTCTCAGGATGCTTATAAATGGTGTTGCTCCAATTCCAAGTCCCACCAGCAATAGGATATCGTACTTTTTGAAATCCTGGGATGGTGCTCCATATGGTCCATCAACACAGAGCTTGGGATATCTACACGAGACAAAGATTAAAAAAAAGGAAAACACTTTAGAGATCATACGAAAAGCTAAGAAAACTTACTTGAGCTGCTCGTTTGGCTGATCTACAACCTGCAAGAAAAGCACTTAAGCCCTGAAATCTTTCTCCCGGAAAACTTACTTGAGAAAAGATCTTCATTAGCTCTTGCGTCCAATCCCCGAGGCTGCGTATGTGTACACTTACATATTCATCTCCCGGTGCCGAAGTTATGGAGAATGGATGCCTGTAACACAGACAAATCCTTAAGAAGCGAACCACACATACACAAATCTAGCTTACCATTCGAAAGGCGACACTGCGGGGCATTGCAAGAAGAGATACATTCCACTTTGATATCTAAAACCCGGAGGCTTAGTCATGTATAAAGCAAGAACGTTTCCTGAATAAATGGATGCCTGAAAGATCGCAAATCGTGAGCAAAACTGGACAAAAATTCCATCTTTGTTTACCTTTACAATGCTAACTTTGTAAGTACAAGCTCTCAGCGTTCGTAGAGTCCTCTCGCCAGTGTACAAGAGCGCGGGTATAGCTATATACATCCAAGCCTGTGAAGGAAAAGCTTTAGAACAACGAGACACAAAGAAGAAAATAAAAGTGATTTACCGTTTTTTCTCTCCAGTCCCGAGCGAGGAACAAGAAAAAGGAGTGAACGATGAGAAGACCGTAGACGAGGACGAACAAGTGGTGCGAGTACCAAAAGGCATTGAAGCCCGTCAACCTGTGGAATGGCCAGTGGAGCTTGACGAGATTTCTCCTGGACCAGTGCGTGGCCAGCAAAAACGCGATGATCATGAGCAGCACCATGATAATCCCGGTCATTCCCTCGATCGAAAGCACCAAATCCAGGTACGTCGGCTGGGCAAACTTGAAGTTCACGCCTAGTGTCTGTATGAACTTGATGTAGTCCGCGCTGGAAATCCGGTAAAAATCGCAGGTTAAGTGAACTCCCCCGTGGAGGAAAACTCCAATCACGATTGCTGCTGCAACCAGCTGATCTCCAGAAAAAAAGAAGAAGAAGAAGAAACATGTAAGAAGCTCAGATTCTTCAATGCAAAAAAGACGACAATGGCGATGACGATGAAGCAACGAAAAGTATAAAGAAAGGCATATACAACAAAGCACCCATTACCCAAGCCAAGTACCAGAGACGGTCGAAACAATACTTTAGCTTTCCACTGTCAGGATCACACGAAGAACAATCAATCAGTCAAGGGAGAACATTATGATCAACTGGTTGATTGAAACTAGAGAAAATAAAAGCATAAAGGCACAAGGGAAAGAAACACCAGGGACCAGCAAGCAACAGGCAGCCAGCTGGAGAGAATCAACCAGAAGAGTGAAAACAAAAAGCCAGGGAGTAGTGAAAAAAAATTCATGGCAGTAGCACAGTGAAGATTTAGCGAAGAACTTGTACGAAGAAATTGTAACAAAAAAACTCAAACCACTGCAAAAGATGGACGCAGCGAAGCAGCAGGAACAAAAGGAGAGACGCATCGCGGTGACGAAGAACCAAACAAAAAACAGGCAGCCATGGAAGAAAAACTTGGCTTACATGATCAGGGAGATGTGCGTGGGAGTAACTCAGTTAGCAGCGTTCGCGAAGGAGAAAGACAAAAAAACTTTGCAGAAGACAAGGAGGGAAAACAAAGTTGCAAAACATTAATCCAATCCAGCCAGCAAAAATGTGAATCAAGAACAAAAACGTGATGGAGAGAACCAGAAAACAAAATATGATCCATCTAGACAAGAGTGCAGCACAGAGAAAGAATTCTCACACAAAAACACTGCAAACCCAAGGAAAAACTGGTAGAACGAGAAAGAACAAAAAAAAAAAGAGCCCAAAGAAGAAGCAAAAAAAAGAGAGAGAAAAGCTAGTAGGACAAACATGCTCAGCTATGGCGAAGATCAAAGAAGCAAAAGAGAAGAGAGAAGACTAACCTTGTGAAAGTTGATGTTATCGTCAAAGGGAACGATGGTGGCGAGCGCGGTGGATCTGAGCCAAGTGATGGTATTCCGGCAAACCGGGAGAAGGATGAGCGCCATGTTGAGCTTGAGCGTCTCGGCGGCGCCCTTGGCAGTGCACAGGCAGTAGCCCATCACTGGAAACCCCGAGCGGTAGCTATACTGGATGAACTTCCAGCTAAAGAGCACCGCCATCACCGCGAACCACAGCGCGATCATCCACACGCGCTGCCAGTCGTCCAGGAGCACCACCCTCGCGCGCCGCCGCAGCGATTCCATCCTCCCGATAGCGCTCTTGGGCAGCGTCGCCGAGGAGCTTATCATCTGGCTCTGGTGGTCGCAGGCGCTGGGGCTTCGCAGCAGTCCCTCGAGCTGGAGCAACTGGAGATCCAAGAGATTCACGTAAGCTTGGATGGGTGAAAGAGTGATGATCTTACGCCAATGTAGCCGTTCTTCTCGCGATCAAGCTCCTCCATGATGAGTGCCGCGTACTCCTCCGCCTGCTCCTCGAGGATCGAGAGCCGATTCGCGGACGCACTGAGCAAGATCACCTGGAATCACTCGCTCAGTCCAAGATACCCAGACACGGCATTTGCTGGGATAGAAAGGTTCTTACCTCTTTTACCTCGTCCTCGAAGATTCGCCCGTCCAGATCCTTGTCGCAGCTGCGTGGCAGCACGATCGCATCAGCGACAGGAAGAAATCGCAAGAAATCAGCGCCTTACAGGTCGAAGAAGATGCGCATTCGCGAATCGAAGCGCTTGTCCGTCATGTCGAGCCAGTAATCGCTCAGCTCTTCTCGCCCAATGCTCGTCAATCCCTCCTTGCCTCGCCGCCGCGACAATGCATCGAAGAGCTGCCCGGCAAACTCCTTGGTTTTCATCCCTGGAGCGAGCGCGCGATCAGAGAGTTTCCAGCCAAGAACAGAGAGAACTCACCGATGCACGCCCCAAAATCCGATCTCGCCAGCCTCCCATCGGGCCTGCCAGCGCTAAGCTTCCGGAATCGCGCATCCACCGTCTCCCAATTCGTGTCGCGGTTGGACTTGTCGATGAAGCGAAGCCCCTCGATCGCGCGACTGGTTGTGGCGATCGCGGGTGGAGCCGCCGCCGCCGCCGCCGCCGCCGCCGCCGCTGGGGGCTCTCGATCGGGCGAGAAATCCACTGGCATGATCCGCGCGTCATGCTTCCCCTTGGAATTGGATGGCGGCAGTGGCGCTGCTGCTCTCACCGGGATGGTGATCGCGACGCCGCCTCCTCCCTGGCGATTTTGCGCGGTGGTAGCGGTGGTGGTACTATCGTCGATGATGATCCTCGAGGAGATTGTCGTGGGCGATGGATCAACGACTGGAGAAACGCTCCTCAGCGTTACAGAGTCCCTGTGAACATCCAGAGTCACTTCCAAAACTATGTGATCCTGGTGATGATGTTCCACCAGCTGTTGGCGATGACGATCCTGCCCATGATGATCATGGCGATCCACATTCGTGCTACTGCCAGTGCGACCCATCTGTTCTTCGCCGTCGCGAACCGGCATTTCCTTTTTTTTTTTTCTCACCTCCCCTGTTCTTGGCAGCTCGGCTCTCCTCGGATCGATGCTCCGGGCGCGATCGGCGATGATGGGCGATCGATTCGACGCCGCAGAAGCCGACCCAGGTGCTCAAAATCGCGACTTGCGTGGTTGCGCCGCGGATCTTCCAGGAGATGATGATCCCGCCTGGAAGAAGATAGGGAAATCTTTCAATCGCAGCAGCAGCATCTTGTACTCCTGCTGCTGCTTCGCTTGACGACCTACCTCAGCTCCCGAATTGATCAGAGCCCAGCATTAATTGGGCTCGCAAACCAGGAGAAAAAGAAGAAAAATTTCTGGCAAGACAAAACTAGGTGGCAAAAAAAAAGAGAGAGAGAGAGAATCCTCTGCTCGGCTCTGTGCCTGCTTGCTCTGTGTCGCTCGCGAATTGAAGGAGATGGATATGTCGATATATCGATTTCGCGGGTAATCAATGATAAATCATTTAAGTGCAGCACAGCGCAGCCACCACTTCACCTTTTTCTTTGGCCTCCTTTCTCGGCTCTGCCAGTGCACTGAAACCCTCACTCTCCTTTTCGTGCCTTTGCGCTTGCTTTGCTTTGACGGTGGTAGCGGTGGATTTCAATGAGCAAAGCGATGGCTCCGCTCGTAGAGCAGCGTGCGCAGCTTTGGATGATCAATGCAATGCAGGAGGAAAGAGGAGAATTTGGAGTGGCACAAGATCGATCGATGGAGCGCCTTTTCTTGCTTTTCGGTTTGATGATCCTGGATGAATCCCTGCCGCTTTGGTTGGCTTGCGGTGAAATCCTTTCTTGGCTGCTACTCTACTGCTTGCTGCTGGCTCTGGATGGATGGACCAGTGGCTCTCTCTAGAAGGAAGGCGAGATCAAGTTAGGTGGAGAGAAGGATCGATCGAAACTCTACTAAAAGGATTGTTTTTTATGTTTCGCTTGGGCGAATGATCCTCCTCCTGGTAACAACACACAAGAAGAGTATGACGAAAGTGAGGAAACCAAGTAAAATATAGAAACTAAAGAAGAATGGGGATGGATGAAATTTTATATCCTACAAGAGTGGATTCGATCGACACCCCCCAAAAATGCCGGAAAAAGAAGGCGGCAAGAGGAAAAAAAGAGGAGGGATTAACAAAAAATAAAAGAGAACACCCCGTGAAAAGATCGAAACCACCAACTTGGGAGCGATTCGATCGCTGCTGCAAGCTCTACATGCATTCGATCTCGATTCTCGATCGATCGGCAACTCACAAGAAAAAAACAATCTTACCTCGATCGCTTGCCAGCGAGTTGAGCAGTTTTAAGATCACTTCCCTTGCATGGAAATTTGAGTTCTTCACGGATCAAAAGCAATGCATGGGTTGCTGTTTATAGGGAGATCATGAAATACAATACGTGTAAGCATACGACTAGAGTAAGCTCTATGGCGTGTTTTTTATTTTATGTTTTTTGGTTTCTCATACAGGTTTTTGGTATTGGCGCAAGTCAGTGGCGAAACGAAAGACAAAGACAAGAGCGTGTGTACAAAATGCCCCCACAGTGTAGGTACATACATGAGCGTTAGCTTCTTCTTTTCTTCTTCCAGACTTTCCACAATGGCGTCCATGCATTGTGGATGAACTTGGCAGGACAATTCTTCCAAGTCTTAACACTTGAAAGAAAGATTAAGCCAAAAGTTTCGATCAGTCGGTCGTCGTCGTCGTTCTAGAAAGGAATCCACCATTAAGTTTTAACTATATCATATGTGGTTCTTACTGCCCGTGTATCGGATGGCGGCTGGTCACCAAAAACTTAGATCCAAACGAAGATTGGCCCCCCCAGTTACCCTTGATCTCTTGTCCTCCACGATGAATTCAATCGACCCAGGGAAAAAGAAAGAGGACCACATCGACAGTGATCTCGTCCGTACAAGCCCAGGAAGATCTCGAGCAAGAACAGCATAGTGGAGGCTGTACAAGTGAAAAGTGTATAGGCTCAGGATAGATAGAGACGAGACATTCCTCACACTGGCCAGGGTTGTCAGGTAACTTACAATTTTCTCTCATGAACAATGGTATTCCACTCCAACTTACAATGGATTGTTTTTTTGCTCGCGTTACTTCTTGTGTGTGGGATACGTAATGATCTTCTAGACTGTGGATCTTGTCGAGGACTATTAAGATTCTCACCACCTAAACACACCAAGTTTGTGTGGGATATCTCCTAGATTTTTTGTTTGCTATAAACTTTAGTCTCCAGCGACGCGTAGGTAGTCGCCAAAGAAATTCTGCGTGAACAAAGAATGGTTTTCAGTACAGTAGCCACACTTTTGCATGATTCAACCAACCTTTTCCTTTGGATGGATCATCGAGCAGCGAACGGACCAGATGAAACCATCTGTGCGAGATGACTTGCGATTGTGTCGCCTAGGCAGGGGTGCCAACTCAAGCAGCTGGGACATTGGGATCTAGCTGTGCTCACGCGATATAAATAATGGAACTCTTGCGATATTGGTGGTACCATTCCTCATTATTCTTTGGCAGATCTCTGGAAAGCGCTCAAACATACACAAGCAAATGAGAAACGAACCTTGCTTTTCTTTTCTGGAAGCCGATCGATCGAGAGCCCGCGACCAGAACTTTAGCGAGGTGGAGCAACGGCCCTACAGCTCTAATGAGAGCTCCAGAGCTTCCATTGAAGCAAGCTTGGATCCGAGCTGACAAGTGTTTGGCTCCAGCGCAAGCAATCTTGGGTTCTCGCCTGGCAAAAGCGTTAGTGGAGTGGAAAGCTTGAAACTACAAGTATCATCACCAGTACCTGGCTCGTCAAAACGATCCTTCTCCTTTTCCTCACACGTAAGGGGTCATTGATAAGCATATGACTCCCAAAGTCCAGATCAACGTCCGTACACTGCTCAGCTTTTACGAGCTCTACGCGTCGAAAACTGCACAAAGCAAATCCAAACTTTAGCTCGGAAACTTACAAATCCTGGAAACAAATTTCTAGTCAGACCTTGTGAACACAAGGAACACCTGTCGACTTCTGCATAGAAAAGAGTCAGCAAAACCATTAAGATGTTAGAACAAAAACCTCCAGTGCTTGAGATCCCGCTGCGAGATTTTCTACAGCGCCCGAGATTAGTAGAAAGGATGTAACAGAGAAAGAACTTTCAGAATTCATTGAATAGTACAAATGGCGCCATGAACATTCGTGCATTCACTTTGCACCCGCCAGCAGCAGCGTCACCGGGGAAAAAAAAAATTAAAAAGAAGCCGTACCTCGCGGTCAAAATTTTTTAGCCCCCACCCCCACGTCTATTGTTGCTTGCTCACCCGTCCTCGTGCCCGGGTTTACACTCGGTATTCTCAGTGTTCTCAGTATTCACGTTTTCCTGGGACTGTGATTGCGGTTGAGTATCGGCCGTGCCCGGAACTGGATCCCTGTCCTCCGTTTTCTCCGAATCTACAACACAGAGTTACTCTCAATGAACAAGAAAAACTGAACTTACCATCTTCGTTGTCCTGTCCAGCTTGTTCCAAGGCTTCCAAAAGCTTCGTCTTGTATTCCTACAAGCATAAACTCCGTGTGAGTTTCTGAAACACATCCCAGAGCTCACGTACATATGCTGCCTTTTTCGCCCTGGCCAGCCGAGTTGCATCCAGCTCCACCTCTAGCAGTCCCACCTGCATTACAAATATCAAAAAGCAAATGAAAAAGCAAAGTACAGCAAGTAGCTGGTACCTCATGTTGAAGGGCGTCTATTGTCAGTAGCTCGGGCTCCTCCGGTTTCAGAGCATCGACCCTTGACTTTTTTCCTTTCGGAAACCTCTTTAGCACACCGGTAGCGTTGCTCTGCAAGTCCGAAAGGATTTAATCAGTACACAGAAAACCCACCAGCAAAATGGAAAGCACACACCTTCCTCTTTTTACCCGTTTGTTCCTGGCCAGCTCTTCTACAGTCCCTGTGGAACATTTATAAGCGCTCTCCACCTCAAAAAATTCTGATCGAAAATACCTGATTTGCATCACAGTTTTATCTTCGGGCATTCTACTCAGAAACTCTCGGTGGAGTTCGTCGGACACTCTGAGCTCTTTGCGCAGATCAGACATCAGCCTTTCTCTACCCTGCAAACAGAGAGAGAAAAAAAAATCAAAGCAAGTGAGACGAGCTAAACGCAAGTAGAATTCAGCGTACCCAAGAGAGGCCATCGGATTGAGCATTGAAAGCTCTCATCACAGCCTTGTAAGCCTCCTGCTCTAGCTCCTGGAGTTTCTTCATCTGGAGCTTCCTGCTATCGTACCTCCGAAGAACTCCCTTGCGAGGAGCCATGTCATAATCGTCTGCGCGGGCAGTCCACCGTTAGCGTGCGCTCGCTGGAAGGAGAGGAAGCTCTCTAAACCCTAAGCCCGAGAATTCGATCGCCACACACTAGGGCTTGCCGGAGACGCTACTGCCGCTGCCGCTCGCAATCGAACTCCCTAGCTGCTAGAGGAGGAGCGCGAGGAGAGATTGGGGATTGTCGCGAGAAGGACTTCTACGAGCTACGCGCCGGTAGGGCACTGGAATCTCACCTGCAGTGCCGCTGCGCTGATATTCCATGAAAATCTGCCCAGCGCCGAGCTCCTCAGCATGGTCGAGCCGATGAAAACCCGTCCAGCGCTCGCCTTTGTGTTCCTCCCTCCCACACAAAAAAAAAAGATTCTCTAGAGCATGTCTTCTATATATACATCCCAAGCCCTTAAGCCGCCACGTCAGCAGGAGTTCTAGGGTTCTTCCTAGAGATTGGGAGAAAATGCTCGTTCCCGCGATGGATTCTGGGGATTCCGCGATGGGTCGGCATCCAGAGGTTTGTCACCGAGCTCCATAATCCTGGAATGTCGCTCTTTTGATCGCAGATGGAAGCTCGCCAACGCGATCGAGGACGAAGGCTTCCTTCCAGCGCCAACAAACGCGCGCTGCAAGAGCTGCCGGAGAATCTCACCGATTGAGGGATTCTTAGTGAGTATTTCTAGATCTTCCCCGCTACATTGTTGGATTTGATTGATTGTCTCCTCGATATTGCAGTGAGCGCTTCCAAAAATGCCAGGAGAAATCTTCCCAGCCTTCTCGCTGCGCTCAAGTCGTGCGCGAGCTCCGGGGATGTCAAGCGCGTCAAGAGCATCCACGCAGACGCCATGGAAAGAGGTGAAGTGTCCAGCGTTTATGCAGCCAGCGCTTTGGTTAACGCATACGCCAAGTGTGGGAGCATGGCCGACGCTCACAGTGTCTTTGACAGGATGCCTTGCCACAACGCCATTGCTCTCACGTCATTGATGCTGGGCCACGCCGAGGATGGAAATGGAGAGCTCGCGCTGGAGCTTTTCTCTCGCATGGAAGACGCTGGGTGTCCACCGGATGCTCGGACTCTCGTAGCCGCTACCAAAGCTTGCGGCCGCCTGGCTCTCAGGGAGGAGTTCACACATGTTGAGGGCAGGTTTGTGAGGGTGGCTTCGCTGGAAAGAGGGATTTCTCTGCACGATCAAGCTGCGAGGCTTGGTTTCGACTCGGACAGGTTCCTGGCAAGCAGCATGATCGAGATGTATGCGAAGTGTGGAAGCATGGAGGATGCTAAGCAGGTGTTTGACAAGCTGGATTCCCACGACGACGTGATACTCTGGAACGCGCTGATGCTTGGATACGCAGAGAATGGGGAAGGGGAGCTGGCTATGGATCTGTTCGAGCTCATGCGGACTAAAGGCTGCTCGCCGAATGCTCGGACTGTCGTTGCCGGTTGCAAAGCCTGCGCGGACATGGGATTGAAAGAAGAAGGAAAAGTGGTGCTGGATGGCAAGCTTGTGAGCTTGGAGTCCCTGGAGAAGAGTCTGGCTCTACATTCAGAGGCTGCAAAACGCGGATACGACTCGGACATTTTTGTGTCGAGCACTGTCATCGACATGTACGCGAAGTGTGGAAGCATGCGAGACTCGCGTCTCGTCTTCGACAGGATGGTTGGTCACAACGTCGTGGCTTGGAACTCTTTGATCCTCGGCTATGCGGAAAACGGGGAACCCGAGCTTTCTTTGGAACTGTTTCGACACATGAGACCTCGAGGCTGTCTTCCCGACGCGTGCAGCTTCGTGGCTGCCACAAAGGCGTGCTCTTATTTGGCAGTAGCAGAAGAAGGCAAGCAGGTTGACGGAATGGTGGTGAAACTGGAGTCTTTAGAGAAGGGGATGGGAATTCACTTGAAAGCTGCGCAATCTGGCTACGATTTGGAGATAGTCGTCACCAACACTTTGCTGGATATGTACGCAAAGTGTGGGAGCCTGGTTGATTCTCGAAGAATTTTCGACAGGATGTGTTTTCACAGCGTTGTGTCCTGGAACGCGCTGTTGCTGGGATATGTCGAGAACAGGAAAGCAGAGCTCGCCTTGGAGATGTTTGAATGGATCAGTGAGGACGGCTGCCAACCAAATGCCTCAACTTTGGTCGCTGCTCTGAAAGCTTGTACCACCTTTGCAGCCGACGAAGAAAAGAAGGAAATCCACGGACTGGTCGTCAAGTTACAGGCTTTAGAGAAGGGACTGGCCATTCACTCGCAGGCAGCAGAGATCGGTTGTGTCTCGGAGGCTTTCGTGGCGACCACACTCGTCGACATGTATGCCAAATGTGGGAGTTTGCTCGATTCCCGCAAAGTTTTCGACACGATCCGGGAGCACAGTGTGGTCTCGTGGAACGCGTTGATGCTTGGATACGCAGAAAACAGCGAGGGTGATACGGCTTTGGAGTTACTAGCGGAAATACTAGCAGCAAAGGTCTGTGCTCCAAACTCTTCGACATTTGTTGGAGCTCTCAAAGCGTGTGTTGATCTTGCAGCTAAAGAGGAGGGGACTGACGTGGAGGGGAAGCTTGTCAAGCTGGAATCTCTTGAGAAGGCTATGGAAGTCCATTTGCAAGCTGCGGGACACGGTTTTGAGAATGGAATTCTCTTCGCCAATGCTCTACTAGATACGTTCTCAAGGTGTGGAAGTTTGATGGACGCCCGGATAGTCTTTGACAAGATGCCACAGCGCAGTGTGGTATCATGGACTGCCTTGGTCATGGCATATGTCGACTGCGGAGAACCGAAGCTCGCTCTGGAAGTTTTCTCGTGCATGGAACCGGAGGGACTTCTACCAAATGCGTACAGTTTTGCCGCTGCCATCAGGGCCTGCAGTGTATTGGGAGCAACAGAGGAAGCCAAGGAAGTGGAAGGCAGGATGGTGAAGGCTGAGTCGCTGGGAACAGGCGCAGCTTTGCACTCTCAAGCATTCAAGAGTGGCTACGACATGGACGTCAGTGTGGCGAACGCACTGGTGGACATGTACGTGAAGTGTGGGAGTTTGGCCGACGCTCGGAAAGTTTTTGATGGGATGACGCCTCAGGATCCCGTCTCTTGGAACGCTTTGATCCTGGGATATGTCACAAACGGGGAAGCAGAAGTGGCCTTGAGTATCTTCGAGACGAACAGCAGCTGCGTTCCAACCTCTCGAACGTTTTGTGCGGCACTCAAAGCTTGCAGCAGTCTAGCAGGGAAGACAGATGGGGATGGAAGGCTCGTGAAAGTAGAGGAGGCACTCGAGAAAGCCGTGGGGATTCACGCTCGGGCGGCCAGCTTTGAATTCGACTCGGACACTTTTCTAGCCAGCGCGCTCGTCAGCTTCTACGCCAAGTGTGGAAGTATCCGGGACGCCTGGAAAGTGTTCCAAAAGGTGCGCCTTCACGACGCGGTGTCCTGGACTGTGATGATACTCGGGCTCGCCGAAAGTGGTCAGGGGGAGCTTTCTCTGCAACTCTTCCATCGAATGCGAGCACAGGGATACAAAACCGACGCGCCAACTTTTGTGGCTGCTCTCAAAGCTAGCAGCAGCGTGGGAGCCTTGGAGCCTCTGAAGGGAATTCACGCAGATATCTCCAGGTGTGGACTCGAGGACGATCCCGTTGTAGCGAACGGCGTTGTTGATGGCTATGGCAAAGCCGGGGACGCAGCGAAGGCACAGCAGGTCTTCGAGGCACTGGAGAAACCAGACGCGGTTGCCTGGACGTCCGTGATAGCAGCACACAGCCGCGACGGGGACACGCGAATGGTTTTCAAGCTCTTCGACGAGATGCAAGACGAAGGCTTGCAACCAGATGGGATCGCACTTCTTTGCGTGCTCACGGCGTGCAGCCATGCCGGGCTTGTCCACCACGCGAAGCGCTACTTCAAGGAGATGGAAGCGAAGTATGGAGTTCGTCCCGGGGCCGAGCATTACCACTGCATGGTGGACGCTCTCGGCCGTGCAAACGAGCTGGAGGAAGCGGTGGAGATGGTGGAAGCCATGCCTTGCGAGGCGAGTGGTGTTGCTTGGAGAACGGTGCTGGGCGCTTGCAAGAAGTGGAAGCATGCGGCGGTCGGGAGGCTTGCTTTCGATCGGCTGGTTGAAGTGGAGGCGAGGGACGAGGCGGGGTATTTGTTGATGGAGGCGATCTACGCGAGCAGTGGCATGAGGGAGGAGCAAGCTCAAGTCCAGGAGTTGAGAAGGAAGAACATACCAAAGAATATCCAGGTATAGATAGAGCAAAAAATTTAAGGTTGGGGATGCCAGGAGTCGAACCCGGGAATTCTTTTCAGGCTTGAAAATTTGGAAACCACTACACCCCCTTTAAGAGCTTGTGAAAGACAAGCGCTTTAGATTTCTTATATATGGCAAATATTAAAGAGAAAAATAAGAGGCCGCGAGAAATTTTAAAAAGATGCCAGAATTATGCTATTTTGACACGTGGTCGTCTTCTATTTGCTGTTGGGAGAGGCTGTGAAGGTTTAAGCTCGGGAAGAAGAGCCCCTTGCTTGCTAGGTTATCGCATTCTCTGTATGCGCTCTTCGCCTCCAACAGCTAGGGCGTCGAAATCCATCACATTTGTGCGCGTCCGGGCCTCGCGCTCTTATAATCCGGCTTCCGGCCGCCAGCAGGTACTGTGATCGCGCTCGATCGATCCTTTCTCCGATGTCAAGCATTTCTAATCTTTCTACGGTTCTATGTTATAATCCCTTTGCCGGCAGCGCTGTAGTGGATCTGTTCCACAGAACGATGAGCCACGACTAGCCGCGCAACCTCTCGAGGAGTTTCCTGTACAATGCAAATTTCTTTCCTAGGACTTATCTCGAAATCTGGCAATATTCTTTCACGCAGGGAAATGAGAGCCCAGCGCTCGAGCAACCGGTATGCTTTGACTCGATCTTCTTTTTAAAAGTCGTTAAAAGTTTCTTGTGCTAAATTCCAGGCCCCGCGAGCTCACGGCAAATTGGTACAAGCGTTGTTCTTGCCAAAAATGAGTCCGAGCGATATGTGTTTTGTAGCAAGGATTGGCGAGTATATGTTGCTGGGCCTTATCATCTCTGGTAGCCCTCTGTGCTTCTGCGTGCTCTCGACAGTCCAAGGAAAAGGTTCGTTCACAGCTTTAGCTTACTTTGCTGATAGAAAGTTTTCTAATGCAGAATCTCCAAGACGACCAAGCTCACCAAGCTGACATTGATGACGACGACGCACTTGAATTGGTATGCTATTTTCCTAGTCCGGATCTTTAAGCTTTGAAATCGTGCTCAGGACATGCAGCCTCTCCGAGGGCTACCCTACATCGTGTCATGGTCGTTTATCCAGAAACTGGTCAACAGCATGTTTAAGTTGAAAGTGTATAATTTATAAATACAAGATTAATCTTACCACATATCAACCATTACATGGTATAAAGTAAAAGTTTATAAACTACAAATATAAAATTAATCTAAATGAATAACAACTACTAGATTGTAAAATATTCTAGAATATCCAAGCATATTAAAATATATTTACTCTCTTAAAAATTTGCTTAAGCAAACAAAAAATTCAAAAGCAATTAGTTTAACTTTTTACCCTAAACCCTAAACTTCCATTTTCTTGGTTGTCATACTCTAAACTTCAAACCCAAGACTAAGTGTAAACCCAAGGTTAAGTGTAAGCTTTTGAATTTGAACTTCCAAAGAGGCCACCAACTCAATACTATTCAAACTTAAAAATATTTAACCCCAAATATCTTAAGACCCTTAATCGATTGAAAAAAAAGGTGCACTTTTATTTATAAACTTTTTCCTTCTATATTTAAACTCCTATGAATTGTCTTTTAAATTATTCTTTTTGGTTGCTTATAATTTACCACCCTTCCTTACAAATTCATGCCCTCGTGAATTGAAGTTAAAAACTATAGCTTTCTCGAGAGCCCTACTCTCTTAACACTCTACCCCTCGAGTCGAGCCCAGCTAAACCTATTAAATATGAATTAACATGTGGTGTGATTCCTTTATTGAACCAATAAAGTCAAATTCAAGACTGCTCTAATATAAAATGTTAACTTTTGAATTTGGACTTCTCAAGAAGCCACCTAACTCAATACTATTCAAATCCAAAGACATTAAACCTCAATTTAGTACTATTCAAACCCAAGAACATTTAACCCCAACCCAATACTATTTAAACCCCCCAAGAACATTTAACCCCAACCCAATACTATTTAAACCCAACAACATTTAACCCTAACCTAGTACTATTCAAACCTAAAGACGTTTAACCTTAAGTATCCCAAAACCCTTAATTGATTAAAAAAAGGGGTGTACTTTTATTCATGGATCTTTTCGGCCTTTAAGAAAAAACCTTTATAAACTTTTTGTTGAGTTGTTCTTTTTGGTTACTTACATTAAATTTCATTTTTTTGGGCTTTTGTCATTGTCATACCCTAAACTTCAAACCCAAGATTAAACTTTATATTCTTGAGCTTTTGTCATTGTCATAATTTATATATATGAATATTGATATCTTCAAAAAAATTAACTTGTGAAGGCATCAACACCTTTTTTTCACTTTCAGAGCTTCTAATGGATGATTTGGACTTGTTTGCTATTAGATGAAGTTGGTTGGCCTTCTTCTAAATAATAATACTACTTGTGTACTTACACCTCTTATTTATTTTTTGTGTGTTGTGTGTCCTTACTTACACCTATAGCATAACTACAAAGGCTAATTTATTTTTATTAAAATGTATCCTTGAATAACATAAAATGAAACACTTTGAAGTATATGACCTTTTTATTAACCTAATTAATCAAATAGAAGTTTATAAATATAAACATAAGATTAAATGATTAGATGGTAAAATAAACTAGAATATACTAGGAAGTGTTTAGGAAAGTTTATACAATATAAAAAAGTTTAAAAATAATTAATAAAAATTAATATAAAAATAATAAAATGTTTATAAATTATAAATAATGAATAACAACCATTGGATGGTAGAATATCCTTAAATATCTAAGAATATTCTAAGTATTTCCACCCCTACAGGTTAACCATTAATCACTAAAATTAATTATTATTATAACTATTGAAGATTAGCTTTATATAAGAATTTTCCTAAGCTGGAATTATAATGACAAAACACATGGGAATCTTCACATAGTGCTTAAACATCCTTTTATGTTTAATATTAAATATGGTAACAACATTTTAAAAACACCAACGATTCCTCTTCGTGCTGGGCTCTTCATCAAAACTGCCATCTTGCTCGTTACTAGGTTTGTACACAAGATCAAAACACACAGCCCTACAAATAAAGCATAAAAAAAACTAATAATAAGAGCTTTAAAAAAACTTGGACTCTTACCCATATAAACATTGATGAACCTTTGGCACAAGCACCACCATCCTTTCAGATTTTTTGACTTTGGAAATCAAGTTACCCAATGCTTGATCGGTCATAAAGCCCAGAAAAGGCACACAATTAACCTCCCACAACTAGAAAATAAATACCTTCATTCATCCATTGCTTTATTGTCCATATTTTTTTCTCAAAGTTTTCTTCTCAATTGGCTTGCTGTCCTTTATAAACATTTTTGTTACTGTACATTATATTGAGCTTTATAAAGATTTTTTATACCTGTGTTTGCTCTCAATAAGTAAAAAGAAGTCCTACAGCTTGTTCTCAGCATCCACCAGCTGGAGATGGATGATGCTATTAGGTCTGTGGTTGCCAAACACCAACCCAATAAAACTGCTGACTGTTGTCTCTTAGGAAGGCCTGAAATACATCTGCTGTATGTATCTGATGAGTAGCACACAGCCGCGACGGGGACACGCGAATGGTTTTCAAGCTCTTCGACGAGATGCAAGATGAAGGCCTGCAACCAGACGGGATCGCACTTCTTTGCGTGCTCACGGCGTGCAGCCATGCGGGGCTTGTCCACCAAGCAAAGCGCTACTTCAAGGAGATGGAAGCGAGTATGGAGTTCGTCCCGGGGCCGAGCACTACCACTGCATGGTGGACGCTCTCGGCCGCGCAAACGAGCTGGAGGAAGCGGTGGAGATGGTGGAAGCCAGGCCTTGCGAGGCGAGTGGTGTTGCTTGGAGAACGGTGCTGGGCGCTTGCAAGAAGTGGAAGAATGCGGCGGTCGGGAGGCTTGCTTTCGATCGGCTGGTTGAAGTGGAGGCGAGGGACGAGGCGGGGTATTTGTTGATGGAGGCGATCTACGCGAGCAGTGGCATGAGGGAGGAGCAAGCTCAAGTCCAGGAGTTGAGAAGGAAGAACATACCAAAGAATATCCAGAGCAAAAACTTTAAGGTTGGGGATGCCAGGAGTCGAACCCGGGAATTCTTTTCAGGCTTGAAAATTTGGAAACCACTACACCCCCTTTAAGAGCTTGTGAAAGACAAACGCTTTCGGTTTTTTATATATGGCAAATATTAAAGAGAAAAATAAGAGACCGCGAGAAATTTTAAAAAGATGCCAGAATTATGCTATTTTGACACGTGGTCGTCTTCTATTTGCTGTTGGGAGAGGCTTTAAGCTCGTAGAGGGAAGAAGAGCCCCTTGCTTGCTAGGTTATCGCATTCTCTGTATGCGCTCTTCGCCTCCAACAGCTAGGGCGTCGAAATCCATCACCTTTGGCTCGCGCTCTTATAATCCGGCTTCCGGCCGCCAGCAGGTACTGTGATCGCGCTCGATCGATCCTTTCTCCGATGTCAAGCATTTCTAATCTTTCTGCTGCTGGTGCCAATGCAAAGATTTCGAGCGTGCGATGGAGCCTGGCAGTGGAGGAGACGAAGAAATTCTAGAAATCTCGGCAATGGTACGGTTCTATGTTATAATCCCTTTGCCGGCAGCGCTGTAGTGGATCTGTTCCACAGAACGATGAGCCACGACTAGCCGCGCAACCTCTCGAGGAGTTTCCTGTACAATGCAAATTTCTTTCCTAGGACTTATCTCGAAATCTGGCAATATTCTTTCACGCAGGGAAATGAGAGCCCAGCGCTCGAGCAACCGGTATGCTTTGACTCGATCTTCTTTTTAAAAGTCGTTAAAAGTTTCTTGTGCTAAATTCCAGGCCCCGCGAGCTCACAGCAAATTGGTACAAGCGTTGTTCTTGCCAAAAATGAGTCCGAGCGATATGTGTTTTGTAGCAAGGATTGGCGAGTCTATGTTGCTGGGCCTTATCATCTCTGGTAGCCCTCTGTGCTTCTGCGTGCTCTCGACAGTCCAAGGAAAAGGTTCGTTCACAGCTTTAGCTTACTTTGCTGATAGAAAGTTTTCTAATGCAGAATCTCCAAGACGACCAAGCTCACCAAGCTGACATTGATGACGACGACGCACTTGAATTGGTATGCTATTTTCCTAGTCCGGATCTTTAAGCTTTGAAATCGTGCTCAGGACATGCAGCCTCTCCGAGGGCTACCCTACATCGTGTCATGGTCGTTTATCCAGAAACTGGTCAACAGCACGTTTAAGTTGAAAGTGTATAATTTATAAATACAAGATTAATCTTACCACATATCAATCGTTAGATGGTATAAAGTAAAAGTTTATAAACTACAAATATAAAATTAATCTAAATGAATAACAACTACTAGATGGTAAAATATTCCAGAATATCCAAGCATATTAAAATATATTTACTCTCTTAAAAATTTGCTTAAGCAAACAAAAAATTTCAAAAGCAATTAGTTTAACTTTTTACCCTAAACCCTAAACTTCCATTTTCTTGGTTGTCATACTCTAAACTTCAAACCCAAGACTAAGTGTAAACCCAAGATTAAGTGTAAGTTTTTGAATTTGAACTTCCAAATTCAAACTTAAAAATATTTAACCCCAAATATCTTAAGACCCTTAATCAATTGAAAAAAAAAAAGTGCACTCTTATTTATAAACTTTTTCCCTCTATATTTAAACTTCTATGAATTGTCTTTTAAATTATTCTTTTTGGTTGCTTATAATCTACCACCCTTCCTTACAAATTCATGCCCTCATGAATTGAAGTTAAAAACTGTAGCTTTCTTGAAAGCCCTACTCTCTTAACACTCTACCCCTTGGGTCGAGCCCAACTAAACCTATTAAATATGAATTAACATGTGAGAACCCAGTGCTCGAGCAACCGGTATACTTTCAAAGATTTGACTCGATCTTCTCTTTAAGAGTCGTTAAAAGTTCCTTCTACAGAATTCCAGGCCCCGCGAGCTCACGACAAATTGGTACAAGCGTTGTTCTTGCAAAAAAATGAGTCCGAGCGATATGTGTTTTGTAGCAAGGATTGGCGAGTCTATGTTGCTGGGCGTTATCATCTCTGGTAACCTTGTGTGCTTCTGCGTGCTCTCGACAGTCCAAGGAAAAGGTTCGTTCACAGCTTTAGCTTACTTTGCTGATAGAAAGTTTTCTAATGCAGAATCTCCAAGACAACCAAGCTGACATTGAGGATGACGACGACGCACTTGAATTGGTATGCTATTTTGCTAGTCCGGATCTTTGCCTGCATTTAAGCTTTGAAATCGTGCTCAGGATATGCAGCCTCTCTGCATCGTGTCATGTTCGTTCATCCAGAAACTGGTCAACAGCACGGAGTGCACCGATGTGCCCATCTCGCTCAAGCGGAATCATTTCCTCACGGTGCAGAATCGCGGGACATACGCTCCCTACACCCGGTTTGCGGAAGCATATGAATGGTTGCGAATGTATCGTCCCGATCTCGGTAAGAGCTCACTGTTTCTTATGGAATTCTTTTCAGCTTGAGCATGATCACCAGGTAACATCAGTGACGAATTCGAACCAGCTGACGACCCAGCGGTGTGGAAGTTCCTGTGGCACGGCACCGAAACGAGGAACGTTGCTTCGATCATGGCGAACGGAATGCAGTCAACGCCCAGTTATGCGAGGCTCCACGCTAGCAATGACTCCAAGGACCACACGCTTGTGCTGTGTGCTACACTCTTCGCGCATAAGGTGGACGATGATCGTTTCACGGTGGACAGCGAGCGCCCATATCTCGTTCTTCCGCTAGCGGAGTGGCATCTTCGCCGCCAAGAGCTCCTGCCCTGCCAAATGTGCTAGCGGCAGAAAACATTAGAAAGAAGATAGACAAAGAAAAAAAGACAAGACCGATAGCCCAGAAAGAATTTTCTTTTCCTCGCTACTTCACCGGATTTCCGCGGACAAGCGCCATAAAAAAATCACTGTTGCAGAAGAAAGCTTTACTAACGAATCGCGGATCCCGACAACGATTCTTTGACCAATAAAAGTCAATGTAAGTCAACGGCTCTTTCTCGGGCTTGCTTATTCAGGAGTAATAAGTAATTTCCCCTTTTCGTCTCGACTCTGGCCGAGCTAGGGACCTGAGAGAAATGCGATGGAACGCGACAAGATCGGGCCATGGAGCAAGATCATTCTCATGCCAAGGTTGGTTTGTCAACTTTGGGTTGGGTTTGCTATTCCATCACCTTTCCTGATTGAAAGAAGAAAGAAATATTGGTGTAAGGCTAGCCTGCGGTTTTAATGTACACAAAGCCTTAAAAAAAAGATCAAGTTTGATTTATCAGTGTGCAAGCTTTTTCCGAATGGCTCAGAACCAAGTTAAAAATCCAGCGTTTGCATGCAGCAACAATTGCGAGATGTTGGAGATGAAGATTGTGACAACTAGAGTTTGTCAATCAGGACCAATGCTTATGGAATGTGGTCACCATTCTTGGCTGGAGGTAGCACTTACTCTTTTCAGCTTGCAAGGAATTGACAAGTTTTATAAGAGCTGGACAGTTTGGAAATTTAATTACAAATTTGACAATACTTAATAATAATTTTACTTTAATTTGACAACCAAAACAGTTTACTTGTAATAGTGCTATTCTTGTTTATCAAGTTGCTCAATGTATAGTTCATTAAAAATTCTCAAATTTTTGCAAAGAAGAAAAGTTTATATGAAGATGAATGAGTATTATGGCCATAAAAGATAAACCACATTTTTATCCAATGATCATATGCCAAAAATAATTTTTTTTAAAGAATTCTAAATTTATATTTAACTAGTGATTTTGTATTATACTCCACAATAAACTATTTGAGTAAACATCTCTTTAAATAACAAAATAACTTTAAAGTAACCATATTATAATATTTAGGATGAGATCAATGTGATAAATCTCAAATGGTAGCTCTTAGGAGTTAATGGGTCAATAAGACAAATCTCAACTTTGATGGTTTTATTAGCTATCATAAAGCTCAACTCATTGTACAAGGCTATGAACAAACAATATGGTGTGGATTATCTTAATGGGAACCATGGGAAAGAATCCAAAAGGTAAAATTAGGCTAAGAACACTAATGTGTTGAGGGCTAACGAATTGTGGGAAAGACAAGGTGTTTCCAAGGATGGATTCCCAATTGCTACTTATGAAGATGATAAGTGTTAAAATTTTGTTTAGAATCACTTTAAAAAATAAACATACATGATAGACATGATTTCTTTGTCCATTGCTTGCTTCCATTGAAATAGACAAGGATTGGAGAATTTTCAATAGGTTATGAATGAAATACTTCAGTATATCAAATTTTCCAGATATAATTAAGTGTTGTTCTTAATGCCAAAATATGAGCAGCAAAGCAACCTATTGGCAAGTCTATGTTGCTTTATCATCTCTGGTACAACCTTTAGCTTACATTGCTGATAGAAAGTTTGTAGACTCTACAAAACAAAAGCTTATGAAGCTGACACATTTGAATTGGTATGGTATTTTCTTAGTATGTCTCCTTCATTTCCAGCTCAGGAAATGCCTCTAAGTCTTCTGTACATCATGCTTTCTCATTTTTCCAGAACAACATGATATGCATGGCTTGCTCAAGAAGAATCCTTTGCTCATAGTGCAAATGCATCTAGTTTGCATATGAATCGATGTGAAAGGATCATCCCAATCTCGGTAAGAGAAGTCAATGCTTCTCATGAATTACAAGGGAGCTCTCAAAGTTTCCAGGCTCATAGTATCAAGCTCAATGATTTTGGCTATTATCAATTATTGATACTTGTGTTATTATAGGGGATTTGCTACAAGCCAAGTCTCTTAGATTGTGGGAGATGCTAGCAAGCAAGAACACCATAGAAACCCATTAATCTCCATATATGTCCAGTATAGAGACTCCATACTAGTGTTCCAAGATCCATGGGTGAAGCCATCATAATATTGTATCCTAGAACTTGATCCTCTCTTACTATGCTCAGAATGAAAAAAGTAAAGTGTCTTTGGAAATGTTTTGGGAGATAAGGTTAAATGGATTTTGTTAACCAAATGTAAATAACTAAAGGGATGAAATACGATCCATAAGGGTTTAAATATAAAAGGAAAAGACCCATGAATAAGAGTGCACCCTTTTTTCAAATCAGTTAAGGGTCTTGGGATATTTGGGGTTAAATATCTTTAGGTTTGAATAATATTAGGTTGGGTGACTTCCTAGGAAGTTTAAATTTAGGAGTTTACATTTGGTATAAAAAAAAAGTCTTGAGTCTGACTCTATTGGTTAGGTAAGGGAATCACATTATATGTTGATTTGACATTTAGCAAACCTGAGGGGTAGGGTGTCAAGAGAGTGAGGCTCTTAGAAGAGTTGCAGCTTTTAGTTTCCAAAACAACCAAAAAGAACAACTCGAAAGAAGTTCTATAAAAGTTCAAATATAAAGAGAAAGGGCCCATGAATAAAAATGCACCTTCTTTTTCAATCAATTAAGAGTCTTGGGATACTTGGGGTTAAATATCCTTGAGTTTGAATAGTACTAGGCTGGATGACCTCCTGGGCAGTCCAAATTTAAAAGTTTACACCAAACACCATCACCTTTAGCACTTTATATCTCAAGTGGCTATATTTCATCTCAATAGGGTGCATTATTCCATGAGACTAACATATTCTTCGCTCGCATTTAAAGCTCTAGGTGTTCCATTCCATTCTTTAGTGTCCTATTTCCTTTTCTCTTCCCATTCACCACACGTGAACATGGTACCCTAACCCTAAGTTTGGCAAGTTTTTGGCTAATATAAATTAACTACAGGTGATTTTGTTTAATCAATCACATAAATATGTCAGATTTGGATTGTGCTATGGATATTGTTCAGTTGTCAATTACGTTTTGCATGCAGCAACACTTAGTTTTCTTAATAGTAGTGTTATTCTTATTTATTAATCCAATTAATCAAATGGAAGTTTATAATTATAAACATATTTATAATTTACACAAGATTAATGTTATCAAATATCAATGATTAGATGGTAGAACAAACTAGAATATACTAGGAAGTGTTTAGGAAAGTTTATAAATTAAAAAATGTTTATAAATTATAAATATAAGATTAATCTAAATTGGATGGTAGAATATCTTTGAATATCCTTAAATATTTTAACTTTTCTTGAGAAAACTAATAATTACTGGAACTAATTATTATTATAGCGATAAAAAAAATTTAA